TTAGCACAATTAAATGTTCTGGGATTCCCATTCTTCTCAGAGTCAGCCACAGTTTGTTATGATCCACGCAGTCAAATGCCTTTGCATAATCAATCAAACACAGCTGAGACCAGAGACCATGCAAAGCAGTGGACTCACACAATAGCTTCTGACACGCCTCCAGGTAACAAGCCCCAAGGCGGAGCCTAAACCGGAGGGGAGGAGCAGAGGGACCTGCCGCCTCCGGCCGACACAGGAGCCAGAAGCAGAGTGGTTTTCCATGAAAACCCCTATGTATGATATCATGATAGATGGAAGAACTACTGACTCTGTCCACGGTTTCATCTTAATTGGATCTGCAATCAACACTCTTTGTACCAACAGTCAGGAGATCAGGAGAATATCACATTGGGAATGTCTGCTGTCCAGGACCTCTCCAACGTACTGAAGAGCAGTGATGTCTGTTTAAAGACCAATGTGTGCCTGAGTCAAGCCATGGTCTTTTCAACCACCAGAAGTGCCTCTGAGAGCTGGATGAACAAGGATGACAGAAGAATTGATCCTCTGACGCAACATGTTGGAGGAGAGGACTGAACATCCCGGGGACTCCAAGAGAACAAACAGACCTGTCTTAGAGGAAGTGAAGCCAGAGTGCTTCTTAGATGCACGGATCGTGAAGCTTCATTTCACTTATTTTGGGCATGTTGCTAGGAGATGCTATTCCCGGGAAAGGGCCACCTGGCTTAGAAAGGTGGAGGGTCAGCGAAAGAGAAGACAGCCCTCAACCAGGTGGATCAACAGTGGCTGTGGTGCTGGGCGCAAGTGTGTCAGAGCTGACGAGGGTGGCACAGGACAGGACAAGATCAGAGCTGTTGTTCACAAGGTCACTGGCAGCCGAACTCAACTTGACAGCACCTAACAGCAATGCCACCACCAGCGCTCCTTTGAGGCAAGGATGGTGAGCATCGCCTCGCATTCTTGTGACACCACACTGGGAAAGCAGAGAGAGGAGTGAAGAGAAATGTCAAAGAGAGGAAGAACTTCAGCAAGATGACCTGGCACCGTGACTGTTAGAATGACCTTGAGCATGGCGGAGAGGGTGGCACAGCATAGGGCAGAGAGGATGAAGATGGCACAGCACAGGACAGAGAGGAGGAGGATGGAACAGCACAGGGCAGGGTTCAGATCGGATGCTCAGAGGGTCACCATGAGCTGTAATTGACTTGATGGCATCTAACAACAAAAACCACACCGAATGAACAAGACCCAAAAGGAAGATGGTGTGAGGTGAGCCTCCCACTGGCTTCCTTCATAGTTATCTAACCGGTCCGTTCTGGTTTAACCCTCTGCTGAGAATTTGCATTTTGATCTCACATAGATAGAATCAGACACTATATTTTAATAAGCCCCCAGCTGGTTCTCATTGCTCTCCAGGCAGCTTGTAGATTCTTGGGCCCCTGAACGATTGCTAAGCTCCCTGGGTGATTCTTAACCACATTAAGGAGATTCCTGTAAGTCGCTGAGAGACTCTTACAGATCCCCCCGCATCACATCCACAGGGGATTATTATAGATTTTATAAAATCACCTGAGAATGTAGTGTAAGTTTTGATTCAGTGTCTCTGGTAAATTCTCAGCAGGGCTTCAAACTGGGATGAATCGGTCCAAAGCTCTGCTCTAAAGTCCAGAGACAATTCCCTTAGAAGGAAGTTGAAAGCCTTTCTGTTCCCCAGGCCCATGAGACACTATCAAGCATCACCACTGGTAAACAATTCACGTTGATCTTGTGTTAGGGGTCACCAAGTCAACCACAGAGCAGACCTTAGGAGCCACAGACAGAAATCCTGCCTGACCCTCTGCTGTCCTCCCAGCCTCTGCTCTGCTCAAACCCTCTACTGCCCACGGAGCCAGACGTCCCCAGGGCATCTCCCTCACTTCCTCTCACCCACTGCTTTTCCAAGCAGGGTTATTGACAAGTGAAGCAGAATGAGGCGCCCCACCGGAGCCAGGCCCACTGGGCTGTAGGTCCAACCCCTAAGGAGTCGACAGGACAGAACAGAACTGCTCCGGGTTTCTGAGGTTGCAGTCTTCCTGAATGTGGACTGCTCATCTGTCTTCTGTGGAACAGTTAGTAGATTTGAACCACTGACCTTTGAGCTGTGGTTGTTATGTGTCAAGTCAGTTGCAACTCATAGTAACCCTATCTATGCCTGAAACCTGCTCTATCCTGTGCCAACTTTACTGTCTCCAACACACCTACCCCCATTACCCCAGTCACTGTCTCAGTCCATCTCATCCATGGTCTCCCTCTCTTTCTCCATCTCTCCACCCTCCCAAACATGACATCCTTCTCCAAGGACTGGTCCCTCCTTGCAACATGCCCAAAGTATGTCAGACGGAGCTTCAGAATCCTTGCCTCCAAGGAGCAGCCTGGTTTAACCCTCTCTAGGATGAATCTGTTTGTTTTCTTGGCAGTCCATGGTATATTCAACACTCTTCTCCAGCACCACAGCTGAAAGGCATCAAATCTCCTTCTATCAACCCTAGTCATTGTTTGTTGTTGATTGTCTTCAAGTCAAGCACAACTTATAGCAACTCTATGAACAAAAGGCCTGAAGCCCCTCTACGACCATCCACATTGATCAAAGTTCACAAAGTTTCCCGAGGCTTGTGGTTTAGGAAGTGGATGCCACTTGGTTAGCAGCCCAATACTTAACCCACCGTGTCAAAGGGATGCCGACAATGCGTCTCTAAAGCCACCTGTTGTCAGACAGTGACCCTCGACCTGGCTTCCAGGCCATGCATTTTAATAGGTGGCAGCTGCCCTGTCTTTCTCCAGCACAGCATTTGGTGGATTTGAACTGCTGGCCTTTTAGTTACCAAACCAATACACTATACCACCAGGGATGCTAAGTGGAGTCACAGAAACCCTGTGTTAATACACTAATACTCTGAGACCTCACTCCCCACATTAACATCCTTCTGGTCACCCTGCACTCAAAGCGAGGCTTGGTTCTGGGGACACGTAACTAACACATCTCGCTACATTCCTATCACACCTTGACATGCAAGCCCAGCATACCTTGAGAGGCATCTCTATCACACATTGGCATAAATACCCAGGACACCTTAAAACTCATGCCCAGCACACTCTGATACACACACCGGCACCCTTTGGTACGCACACCGGCACCCTCTGGTACGTACACCGGCACCCTCTGGTACACTCACCAGTACACACTGGTACACACACCAGCACGCTCTGGTACGCACACCAGCACCCTCTGGTACGCACATCGGCACCCTCTGGTACGCACATCGGCACCCTCTGGTACACACACCAGCACCCTCTGGTACGCACACCGGCACCCTCTGGTATGCACATTGGCACCCTCTGGTACACACACCAGTACACACTGGTACGCACACCAGTACACACTGGTACACACTCTGGTAAGGACATCTCCCCTTTAGGGTCTAACCTCCCTTAGAGTTTTAGAACTCCCTAGAATTTTAGAAATCTCTAAGCAGCATCTCCCAGGGTCTACAAGGAGACCTTTACCCTCGTCCTCACCTGCAGTAATAGTGGCGTCCAAACTTGGCCCAGTGATCTCGGACAATCTCCTCCACGCTCTGCTTGCGGGCAGCGAGGATGGACAGCCAGACCAGGACAGCCCAGAGACCATCCTTCTCTCGGAGGTGGTCAGAGCCTGCGGGTGGGAGAGAGGGTGAACTAGATTGATCCGTGGGGAGAATACAAGGTCAGTGATGGGAAAGTGGGGGATGAAACACCAGTTACCCTCATTTTATCATACAAATAGCAGTCCTTCCCCAGGAACAGTTCTGTAAGCACACTATGCTTTTCTTTTTAATAATAACGTATTTTAAAAACTGGGTTAGCAGTACTCATGAAAATAGCCCCCAAGGGGAGTGAGCAGTTGACAAACACAGCAGGCATGTGTTATTTGCATAAAAACATGACGATTTCATGTTTAAAATTGAGTATTCTGCTGAAATGCTTGGGTTTACTTAGTCATTATGTTGCAAACTTATTGCATTAGAGTCAGGCCCTGCATAGCCGATCCTCCAGCAGGTGTTCAGAGGCTGTAAGTCACATGAGAAGAGTCAATGGTGGATTCAAACTTGCAGAGACGCACCTCTGTCAGGTTAGCAGTGCTGCTCGCTACCACCTACCCCACCAGAGCTCCTTGTCACAGCCGTGCCCCGTAACAGGTCTACACTTTCAGAAGTGGACAATGGAAAGTAGATGTAATAATACGAAAGATATTTCCATCCTGAAGACAGTTAATGGAGTGGTAAGTTCAGCTGATGTCACGTTTGCTCAGTCGTGTTTGTCAGTGATTGTCTGGCGTCTGTGGACAGTGTTGAGTTGGCCCTGACCCCCAGTGACGCTGGCAATAAGGGAAGAAAGTGCTGCCCAGTCCTGCCCCACCCCACAGTCGGCTGCAGATCCAACCATTGTGGTCACTGGGCTCTCACTGGCTGCTTTTCTCAAGGTGATTGCCAGGCCTTTCTTTCTAGTCTGCTTGAATATGGAAACTCCACTGAAAGCTGCCCAGCATCTTAGCAGCTCGCAAACCTCCACTGACAGAGGGATGGTGGCTGTCCTTGAGGTACTGTCTTGGAGGGAACCCCGTCTCTGAGCCTCTGCCCTGTACCAAATGCTGCCCCAGGTATCAGCCATCCAGCAGTGACCAAGGGCCCCTTCCTCATAAAGCTTAGAGTTAAGTATGTGGAGACAGACAACAGAGAATCAGACAAGGGTGAGCCAGAGATGCGTCACCTCAGGACAGCATCATGATGGAGGTAAGCCTGAAAAACAACGTCACGTGTGTCACAGCAGTACAGCTGCTTCACCTGGGGGCAGTTTCAGGTCAGACCCAGGGACTCAGCCAGGGTGGTGACCCAGACAAGGTTTGTAACAAAGCACTCCAGCTGAGGGCCAACAGAGCCAAAGGCCCTGAGGTACAGACGAGCCGGAACCCCAAATACTAGAGTCACAGGAAGAACCCAGAGATACCGCGCGGGGTCCATAGCCTCTCCGCACGGCAGACATCACAATAAGTGAGGCCCATGAAGTCAGAGACTCAGGAGGCCTAGTTGGAGACCTGCCCTGTTAACTCAAAGGCTGTGCCTCTCTGATAGTTCACACCACCAAGGGCTTCAAGAGGAAAAGACGGGCAGTCTCTTCCGGTGCCATCAGCAGCCTCAGAACCCTAGAAGGGTCAGCTATGAGTCGGTTCCGACTTAGGGGCAGAGAATTTGAGTTTTGAGTTTGAGTGTGTGTAAAAGTGATGTTCTATGAAGCGTACAATAGCACCATGGAACAGTTTGAAATATTGCAAGATTTAACAAATGAGCACAGAGCTTCAAAGTGACAAGTGCTACTGGAAATGAGGAGAAAACAGAAGTCGTGAGTCTTCTATGTAAACTTCTTAACCTTGATCATGACCTATAGCCCCTGGGTTATTAACAAGGTTAAGATTTTTGAATCGTTAATAATTTTTAACCTTCACTGTGGCTGAGGTGATGAGGACGGCGCAGGAGAGCACAGGGCTCAGGTGGGCTGTTCAGTGGGTCGCCCTGACTTGTACCCAACTGGAAGGTATTTACATAACAACCACCTAGCTCAACACTTGAACCAAAACACTTTGACAACTGACGCAAAGAGCCATGTGCTGCAATAATGAATTAATGGAAATCCAAAATCTCTGTAAATGTTCAATGAAATTAATAAAAAATATAAAAAGAAAAAAGAGCTGTGTACTTGGCTTTGAGCATTTCTAGCAGGAAATTTCCTCCAGCTCTGGCGAGTCCGATAGGGAACTTACGAGGAGGAAGGGCCAAGCTTCTCTAGAGGATTGACGGTCTGTGATGAGAATTCTGGGCCTCTGGGCCCCGTCCCTGTGGAGGAGTCCAGCCCCAGCCCCAGGCAGGAGACTGTCCACAAAAATGGAAGAAATCTGGAGGACTGCTGCACTGGCTGATGGCCCAGGGCCAGAAAAACAAAGAGAGGAAACCCTGCCCACTGAGAGACTCTCAAAACCTTTTGTCCTTTTATAGTTGAAAGATCACTTTTATTTACAGGCGAGAGCAAAGGACCCCTTTGTTCTGAAGTGCAGGGCTGTGCATGCCGTGGCCCTCTGCCAGCTCACACAGCCCCCCCCCCGCCAGAAGCATCAGAGCAGGGAGGGGAGGTGCCAGGGGCTAGTGAGAGGACCACAGAAACCCCAACCGGTGGTGGATGGCAGTAACCGTGGATTGGCATGGGCAGCCTTAGCCACAAGTTATTTTTTAAAATGCCCAGATTGATAAGGGATCAGTGACTATAAAAGGATCTGTATTCCCCACAGCTCTGTTTTTTTTTAAAAATAGATTTTTTCTTTTGTGATTTTAATGAAAGTTTACAGGAAAGCTAGATTTTTCATTCATTCATTGATGCACATGTTACCCCCCCATTCTGCTCCCTCCCTCAGTTCCCCCCCTTTTTTTAGTAGCTCCTTGAGATGGGGATTGGCTGCTAAAACACAGGGGAAGGCTTCCACTGGACTGTCATTGCAGGGGTTCTGGGGGTGCACTTCTCTTTGTCGCAGCTCAAGAAAGTGAATAGTAAAGGCCTAGCAGTGAACACCCAGTGAGAAGGTGTGCAGACCATACAAAGGGGCTGGGAGGTCTGAGGCCCCCTGAGGAGAGAGCAGGGGGAGGAGAGAGGGTCCACCTGAGGCCCATTGAGGAGAGAGGAAGGGGCAGAGAGCTGGTCCATCGGAGGGCAGGTGGCTGATGGGTAGTTAATCTCTCTGCTGTCCTTCACTGTGATGTTCGTTTCTTTACAAATGGAAGGATTATGGAAACCCTGCATCAAGCAAGCCGTCCTGTCTCAGCCCACCTGGGTTGTTCTCCCAACATTTGACACTTTTCTATTGGGCTGCTGCACACTTCACAGCCGCAGTTGAGTCCACAACCTGCTTCACTGATTGATACCGGCTCTATTGCACAGGTCTGGAAGCGACCTCCACAGATCCAAGGCCCATCAGTGCAAAGTGGTCTCGGGTCACGAATGTCTGGGTCGCTCTGCGTAAATCTGCCTCCACTCTGAAGCCACAGAAGCAGCAGATCAGTCCTTCATCACTGTCACCTTCCTTCACTTTTGCGTCTAGTTTTTAAACTGTTGGAAAGTTTCAAGCTGTGTCTTCAGTAAAGGGAAAGCCACTGCCCAGGTCGATTCTGACTCTAGCCACCCCACAGGACAGTGGGGAGCTGCCCAGGACTTCCGAGGCTGGAAATCTTTCTAGAAGCAGACAAATCTTTCTAGAAGCATCTTCTTCCCCCAGAGAGGCTGATGGGCTCAAAGCACAGACCTTTTGGTTAGGTGTCGGGGGCTTCAGCCACTGTGCCATACAGACCCCTCACACTGACCAGAGCCCACTGCTGTCAAGTCCGTTCCAGTAATGGCGCTCTCCCTCGGTTTCCAGCTGTCAGGTACACGGGAGGAAACAGCCCATCTTTGTTTCACGGCTCTGCTGAAGGATTCAACCTGCCAGAAAGGTGTGGCCTTTGGGTGAACAGGGCCACTTCCCATGGGCGGTTCCTGGGTGCACAAAGAGTTACTAGGTCCAGCGGCTCACCCAAAGGTTGGAGATTCAACAAGTCCACCCGACGTGCTTCAGAAGCAAGGCCTGGCAACCTAATTCTGGGAAATGAACACTACTGTCAGGCTATTCCGATTCACAGTGACCTTCCACTAGGATTGAAGGCTGTAAATCCTAATGGACACAGGACGCCTCATCTCTCTCCCTTGGAACAGCTGGTGGGTCCCAATCACTTTCAGCCCAACACAAAGCCCACCCAATCAACAGGGTCCTGAAAACTCTGTCAGGAAAACCAGCGGTGCACACTGTTATCTGCACATGTGGGGTCGCTGTGCCAGGAGCCGGTGCCCTGGCACTGCTCTCAAGTTAGTTCTGAGCCTGGGGAGAAGCGTCTAAAGGGATTCAGGGCGGAGGCCTTCACAGAGGCCTAGGGCACGGAGCTGTGTGCCAGCCAGGAATGCACAGCTCAGGGCCAGACACCTGAGGAAATGGCTCTGCCTCAGGCCCAAGAATGCCAAGCCTCTGCCCACAGCTGATCCAAGAGAAACAAGAGGTGTCCGGGTAGAAATTTCCTGCATGGCATCTTGAACTCTGAACATGCCAGGGCAGCAGGCTGGGATGGGCACTGCCCAGCTTCTCTTGGTGGTGATCTGTAGGTCTGGACAACCCCAATCCAGGGCTCCACCAGAGAGCCAAGGTCATTGACAAGGTCAAGTGACCGTGCATGTGAGTGAGGCCCAGGTCCCAGGGCTGCTGCTTCATACAGGGGAAAAGAATGTCTATAAAGTCTGACATTTAAATAGCAGAAAACTGCTCATGAGAATGGGGCTGTGACCACCTCTCTGATGTTCCAAACTTAAAGGAACCTGGGATTGTCCAGGAGCCCTGGTGGTCAGGCTGTTCAGCTGGTAAAACCAGAAAGACTGCTGATGGGAGCCCACCAGCCGGAGGAGAAAGATGTGCCAGTCTTCTTGTGTAAAGATGCCAGCCCTTGGGATGCTATGGGATCCTCGGCCCACAGGCTCCCTGTGAGCCTGAACCAACCCGGGTTTGGTGTTTCAAGTTGAGTTTCCTGTACAGAGGATGCGCTGAAATAATAAAATTGAGAGCTGGGAGTCCAAGGCCAGCAAGGTTCTCCAGTGTTTTGGAAGAGGCTTCTCTGGTGACCACCGCTGGCATCCATCTCTGAAGAGGCTGTGCCCTTTGGAGCGGCTCCTCCTCGAGGCCCAGAGCTGACCCTGCACCCGTCAGGCTGAAGAGCAGTCTGTCTGGGGGGTGGGGGGGGTCCCACGCTTGACACCATCTTGATTCCACTATCACCTTCATTGTGCATTTTCTGAGTTCAGGCCACATAAAATCATGCAAATAGTAATGTTTTAGTGCTTCTAAGACAGTACTCTGTGGTAGATCTTTCACAATAATATTTGCTATTTTGTTCAGCTTTGCTTCTTCAGCATAGTGGGTTCTGAGACAGTATTTGTAGGGTTAGAGAGAGGATGGATGGATGGATGGGTGGATGAGTGGATGGATGGACCACCAAGGAGAGAAGGAATCAGGGAGGGAGTGGAGAGAGGAAGGGAAGGAGAAAGGGAGGGAGACAGGAAGAAAGGAGGGAAGGATATAGGAAGGAAGGAGGGAGGGAGGGGAGAATGGTTGAAGGATGGAGGGATAGACAAACTGATGGGAAGGTGGAGGGAAGGCGAGAAGAAGGGAAGGAAAACAAATGTCTCCCTGCTGGCTTTTCCTCTCAGCAGTACTGACAGTTGCATTTGCCATCGCTCCAATGTTCGAATGAATGTCCCAGAGCTCGGCCATTTGTGATCTCAACTTCTGGAAGGATTCATAATTTAATTTTTTTTGTAAGCCAACGCAAAACCGACAAATATAAACCAGTTCGAAGGAGATAGGACAGAATGTTCCAAATTACAATACATTGGAATTTTATAAAAATTTAAAAGAAAGTTTTGGCATTTCCAATCACCATTTTATTATACACTTCTAACAATACTTGCATTAAGAATGGTGTTTAAAGGCATTTTCCATTGCCTTAGATGAGATATTAGCTTGTTTGGCTTTTCCTGTGTGCCTGTTGCCATCAATAACTCAGAAGTGACCGGGTTCAGCAGAGAGGGGGGGTGAGGGAGGAAACAATCTTTGGGGTTTATGAGATCCTTACTCCGTCTGCCATGGGATGAATTCAGGTTCATGAAGACATTTCATCGGGTGTCCAAGGCGAGGATGGGGAGACTTCGTCTGACATCATTTGGGCATGTTATGAAGAAGCCATTCCCTTTAAGGGACATCATGCTTGGAAAAATAGAAGGCCAGGGAAAAAAGAGGAAGACCTTCACTGAGCTGGATGGGAAGAGTGGCTACAACAAGGCCCTGAAGTCCAGCAGAGATTGTGAGGCAGGGGCAGGACAGGGCAGGACGGGGCAGGATGGACAGGATGGGAAGAACAGGGTGGGGGGTGCAGGACAGAGCAAGAAGGGGCAAGAAGGGGCAGGATGGGGCAGGAAGGGGTAGGACAGGGCAGGAAGGGGTAGGACAGGGCAGGATGGGGCAGGAAAGGGCAGGACGTGGCAGGACGGGACAGGGTGGGCAGGATGGGGCAGGACAAAGCAGGATGGGGCAGGATGGGACAGGATGGGGCAGGGTGGGCAGGACGGGGCAGGATGGTACTTTTTTGTCCACGGGGTCACCATTAGTCCGAGCCAAAGGGACAGCATCCTCCCAAATCCCCTCTGTCCTCGCCATAACCACCATGCTTTCTGTGGATTTCAGCCGCTGACATGTCCTCTAGTTGTTTATGAATAAGTATTTTCTTCCCCCCAACAGGTACACAGTCTATCCACCTTCCAGGCGTCGTCCTGTCTCCTTCTTTATTGTCCTCCCCACGGGAGCCCCTCCCAACTGCAGTCTCTGTGTCAGTCCATCTGGTTGAGGGTCTTTCTCTCTTTTGCCGACCCTCCACTTTCCCGAGCATGATGTCTCTCTCCAAGGAACAACCCATAAACATTAGCAACTTGCTTCCCTGTAAACAAGGAGAAGGACTTCCTGGTGGGTTACCACGGACAGCAAACAAGGCTGCCCGGGAGTCGATGATGCTTGCCACCAGTGGATAAGCACATGAGGATTCTGTGTGGCATTCTCTCTACTCATAAAATTCTAGAAATGTCCAGAACTCAAAAATAAAAATGGAAAGAGAAAGAAGAAATGGATATGGACATGAGCCAAAGAGGAAACTGGATCATAGCACACATCCCAGTAATTTTCTCTGATTTTGTGCTTCTGACTTCCTTCCAGACTTTGATTCTCAGAAGGTCTCCAAATGGAGGTAACAGAGAGCACAGAGGAGGAGTCGCCCCCCTCTCCACCGTAACATTAGCCCAAGAAAGCCTACCCGTGCCAAAGCTCTCCTCTCCACACAGAGAGCAGCGCCCTGAGTCCATCAGATTCGTGAAGAATCTCCACCCAGCGGGAGTCTCGTACACAGGGACCTTCATCGCCTTGGCCACCCTGGAAGACATAATTCGAGACAACAGTCAGTTCACAGCCTTGCTTTATTCTCTCTCTCTAAACAGCAGGACATGCTGGGCAGCGTTTACAAGTTTTGAGATCTCAGGTTCCAAGGTTTCCATTTACAGAGACTTTATGTACGGCATCACCCTAAGCCAACCTCACTGTCTCCACTCTGCTTAAATCCATCTAACTATTAACGTCATTAAAGAAAACTTGGAAGAACTCTAGAAGCCCTAATCCACAACATAAACAGTCTTCCAAGCATCCTGAAAAATCTACAACCAAAAGATAAAATAGATGAATGGGACCTTCTAAGAATCAAATCCTCATGCAAATCCAAAAGCTTCTCCAACAGGG